CACCAATTCAAATGCAGTGCTGGCTGCAAAGTTGATGACTTCTTGCTGCCTGGGGAAGGTGTACTCAGGGCTGCAGTAGCTAGAGAGATATAAGAGGTCACACTGAAAAAATCTGAGTTTCACTGCTGGAGTTGTGCTCAGTTTACCAAAATCAGAGAGAAAGAAAGCGGTCGTCATTACCGGGAGTTGCTACTTATAGCAACAAGTGAAAATGATGAAACTGAGGGGTACTTACGTGGTATCCAAATAGAGTGTCTGTATCCTGCAGCTGAGTAGCTCAGGGTAGGTTTCCATTGAGGGGTCAGCTCTGAAGTCTCCGGTGTGAAGAACCGTCTGTCCATCGGGCAAGAAGAACAACAGCATTGCAGCACCTGGACAACTGAAAGAACAGATAAGGATACAAAAGAGAGGTTTTAATCAAATTTAGCCAGTTTTCATTGTGAGAAATTCATTTAACTCTCCAGGGAAATATTACGAGGAGTAAATAGAGTCATTAAGTAGAAACTATGTAGCACAACTCTAAAAGATGTGTTCTACATTCAAAAGAATGTATTCCCGGTGACATAATGAATAGGCTATTAGCTTGGTTGTGTCTGAATATACTTCAAAGTGCCTCAATTTATCCTTTTATGACAATTTTAATATAAAGAAAGTGGAACTTTTGTATCTGCTCCCGAATGCATAAATGCATGTTTTTGTAGTCTGCTAATAGCGGTGCATATGTTATAAGTGACTCATTGTGTCCTTCTCCTCTGCCCACAGTGTTTTGAGAGCCATTTCTCTGGGTTTCAGAAAGATCATATGGGAAAATACCCGGTCAAGTTTTAATGCATGCTGGTGAAGAGCCCATTAACCTCAGCTGCAAATCTAAAACAGTATTTAAATCTCAAAGACAGAAAATCAACCTTCTGGTGATAAACCAGCGGAATCTGATCAGCATGAAATCAGCAGCGTGACAAAGAAGCTCTCATGTCTCACAAAACAGCGTCACCAGTACAGATCCCTGCTGATGTCACAGATGACTCACTGGTTAGCGTCTAGGAGGATGACCCGGACCCCCTCCACAGTGACTTCAGTATTCATGGGGAGGATGTGGACGTACTGCTCGGCCACCCTCAGTTTGCTCTTCACCAGGTTCCCTGTAATCTAATCAGGAGACACAGCTGAGAGTGAACAAATCTCTGCAGTTTACAGTGATAAACAAGTTTCAAACAATCTCAGATATCCGGAGTAATTCACCCCCCCGCCTCCCAAACCCTGGCCTTGAAATCTTATTTACACATTCTACTTTCTAATTACCCTCTGTGATTATGATCAAACTTTTCTGGGCTGTGATCCACCTGGCGCCCACGCTCAAAGTCTGTGGCCTAGCAAACGGAGTCCCAACAAGTACTTATAAGTCTGTTTTTAGCCTAATCCCCAGAAAACACACACACACACACCACTGTGATAAACCTGACCCACTTGATAGAAGAACTCCCAACATCTCTAGTCTCTTGACTTTTATATTATTTCAAGTTCATGCCTCATATCATACCTGATATTATATATTGTTAAGTCGTAGCTATTTGAACCAAAAATAAGCAATAAAGTCTGAGCTAAAGATTTTACACTTGTTTAACTGCAAACTTCAGTTTATTTAGATAATTCTCTACATTTAACGCACCTTCACTGATGTAGCTTTTCCACAGTAACAACAAAGGGGATGGCAAACAACTGGGCCCCAGATAAACTTACTTTACTGCACATCAAATGTTGTATTACTGTGTCCAAAAGAAGAAGTAAAAACTCCCACAAAGGTCTTCGAATTTTAATTGACTCAACTGTGATCAGAGCCATTTGAATTTTGGTATTCATAGCTGCCAAACGCAAGCCGCTTTTTCCATTAATGTGAGTCAAAGCAGTGCAGAGAGATAACAAATGGATCAAGTACTTCCTCTATGAATTCTGTGGAAGTGAGGAAGCTTTTTAATGAGTTGAAAGTAAGTAGGATTTCTGGCGGCAGAGAGGGGTGGTGGTGGTGGTGGTGGGGGGGGGTTATATCATTTTCAAATAAGTGAATCGCTTCCATACCACTGAAGGAGAAATACATAAACGGACAAAATGTCAGCCTTTTGCTGAGATGGTGTTGGATATAGTTTCAACAGTGGACTCAAAGCAGGGATAATATCCATCACTCTGACTGTTTTGTATCATAGAAAAACAGCAACTGTCTTATGCAAATCAATGCATATAATAAATCAGATTCTGATTTCCTGCACAACATAAGCAAGGATATATTCATGAGAAGACAGACATCTCTACATCCAATATTTTCATAGCTGGGTACCTCACGGACAATCAGGGTGGTGAGAGAACATGTAAATGTGATTTAAGAGTGAACTGTCCCTGGCACTCGGTGATCCAGTACCAAATAAAAACAAAACTAAGCTAATTATTTCATCAAAACTACAGATCGACTTACTCTGTTGCAGTAGATGGGAACAGTGGAAGTCTTGGTCAAGCCTCCGTAGTGGTCTGAGTGGAAGTGAGTAAGGAAGTAGGCTGTGATGCCCTCGATCTGTCCATATCTAAAGGCATCAATGGCAAACTTTGTGCCTGGGGAAAGTTTTTTACATAAGATTACAAATTAAATAATAATTAATGTTTAAATTTACACAGCAAGAAGAAATGTACATTTGCTTACTAACCTGGGATTTTCTTATAGAAAGGGCAACGGGGCAGCTGTACTTCTCCATCAGCATTGACTCTGTTCCTCCACCTCCTCCTCCCTGTGGCCCCACTCCTCCCCCAGACTTCTCCCTGTCCATCTACTGATGGGTTAATGGTTTCTGTGGCCTGTGGCGTATCTGCAGGTGTGTCAGCTTTATTTTTTCTCTGCCGGTCTCTTCTTTGCCGTCTCTGTCCCGAGCTCTTTCCAGCCGTTGGAGTAGACGAAGCGTTGAGGTCATTTGGTGCACTCTCTGCTTCTTTCTCCTTCTCCCTCAGTGGTTTGAGGCCAAAAAACACCCCGATGTCAGTTTGTTTGAGACTGGAGACCTGACCGGCTTTGCTGTGGCCCTTCTGAGGGGGCATGGCTTGAGATCGTTGGACAATGGAAGTTTGAGATGAAGGCACTTGAAGAGAAGCTGGTTGCTCTGTTTGAATAATGCTGTTTGAGTTTTGGGAGTGTGAGTTATCTGAGCTCAGAAGAGTGTCTCTCAGACGCTCTAAGATAATACTCTGTGGAGACTGAATACTAGTCTTACTGATTTCAGAAGCTTCTTTTCCACCTGAGGAAACAGCTCTGTTCTCAGCAGCTAACTGATTAGTGGGTGCTAATGAGGAAACTGCACCCAGCTGGGTGTTTGTAGAAGGCAGTTTCTTTCCTTGCACATTGCTGCCTTCTGAATTGCTGTTTATAAAGTCAGTGAGGAGCTCATCTTCACTGGAGAAGCCGTCACTGAACAGCGTCATCGAGTCTTCATGCTCATTTTGAATTGCACTGTCATTAAAAAGAGATTTTCTACACTCTGTAGTGTTGATTTCAGTCTCTGCAGGGAACTCAGAAAGAGGAGAGTAGGATATCATGTCATCATTTTCCAAAAAATCCTCACTTCTGTGTAAATCTTCACTAGCATGCTGTCCGCTATTTTCCATAACAGGGATGGATAAATCCCCTTTATTACTTTCTTGAGAAGCAGTGACAGAGTTTTGGCCTTTAGCAGATGATGACCAGCCTTTCTTTTTCTTAAAATCCTCTGGTCCAGGAGAACGCAGGAGCAGAAGGCCATTTGTAAGTTTTGACTGAGGTGTTCCGGTGTGACGTTGGTGAGGTGAGGAGCTAGGACTGGATAATGCAAGAGGAGTTAGAGCCCCTTGCTGTGAAGTCTCTAAAATAGACCCCTGATTTTTTATCAGACCTGGAAAAAAATCCAGGCTGGTGTCAGCCTGTTGGGACAGACTGAGGAGGGCTGTGCCGCTGCTGGCTCGACTGTGGGCCAGAAGTGTGTGGTTGAATTTCTTGTAATGGTTTGGAATGGTGGAGGAGCACCGAAGACCATCTGGACATTCTGTATGAACAGATAAAAAAACAGTCCCTGCACTCGTTAGAGCAGGGTTACAAGAGGATGATATTTAGCACTTTACCAACTGCGCTACTCTAAACTAAACTAAACTAAAGATATATACTATAAAGGTATCTTATCAGCCTGCTGTTTGAGATAAACACAACTGAGCTAAGTGCATAGAATCAGTGCTACACTGTCAGTGCACATTTCTTTTAATCCCTAATCCTGAGCTGTTAGGCTATGTAGAAACTCCCTTTCTACCATCACAATGCATTATGGGAAATTAAGGACCTTTTGTTAGAGGAGACTTCTTTATCCTGCAGACCTGTGAACATTCATTCACTGAGATCGAGGGAAAGCTGAGATGATTTGGATTATTATGGACCTGAATGGCTGCTGTGAATGACATTAGGCTTATCTGAAGCTGTGATTTGGTATCAAGTGTAACTTTAAGATGTGTGATGAGTATGGATGTCTGTACCTGTGCACGTATCCCTGGGAGTGTCAATACATTCAGCAACGTGCCATCTTTGGGACTGCACAACCAAAATGAAGAATGGCATCTGACAGATGGGGCAGAAGTCTTCAGGGGATGGGCCCTCGGCTGCAGCATTGTCACTTTGATTTGTTTCTTTTGTGGGAGATCTCTTTGAGTTGAGCTCCTGTGCATTTAAGCTTAAGTTACAGTCGTCTGTTATTCCAGCTGTAGCACTGACTTCACTTTCTGCCGCTTTGGCTTTTGCGTTCCTGTCTTGTGGCTTGATTGAGAGAGAAGATGCGTCTTTCTTGGAGGATTTCCTGAAAGTGCATTTTCTTTTAGTGTTTTTAGGTGGAGATTCGTGCCTCTTCTTTTTCTTGCCAAGAGGTTTATAGTCCCAGATGTCATTTTCATTTTCCTTCTGTGACATTTGCAGCAAAATAAAGCGTAACGTGCCCGACGTTACCTCGAAACCATTGTTATTACACAAGGACTGGTGTTTGGTAACATTCCGCGATCACAGCAAGTTAACGGCTACTGACAACTTCCTTATATATTATATAATACACTGCGGATATTTGTTACTGACAAACAGCTGAACCTCATTATTTAACAACGAAATTGAGAAATTTTCCTTCTTGACACACCGTTTACTAACATGTCAGCAGCAGGACTTACCGCCACTATGCTACAATGAATGGAGTAAAAACAACTAGGAAGGGACAACAACACTTTCTACACGTTTTAAACGATTAAATTAGCCAATTGTTTGATTTGAAGGCTGAAAAAAATAAGAACCCTATTTTAGAGGGTATTTAATTCGGATAATTGAAACTGAAACTCTTTTAGAGCCCTTATAGACGATAAAATTTTTGCTATTGTGTCGAAATCCGCGGTATGAATCTCTTCGCTGCTTTACCGAGCTAGCTGGTTGTTGCTGGAAACATGGCGTCCCGGTGCAGCGTCTCTACACTGTTTCCTGTCCAAAGTCAGCTGGATAACGCCTTAGATGACGCTACAACACAGCAAGAAAAAGAAGATCTCGTTCAACAATATCTAAAAAAGTTAGACGAGAGAGAGGACCTGAAGATACCCGATTTCCAGACAGGTTAGAGCTTTAGCTTAAACACTTCGCCTCTCTTTCGTAGCAGTTTGACTTGAGTTTGCCAACTCTGCTCGTCACTACAGGACTCGGCATGTTCATTCATATATACATTAAGAATGTTGGACAATCGCAGTCTGCTTAGGAAGAGCTCTCTTTCCTTTTAAAAGCCAACTTTACAGTACCACACGCCTTGTAACCCTTAAACACAAGTTCTTCATAGTCTGTCAATTAATTAGCTAGCTACCTTATCTACTCCGGAAGAGGAAGAAAAATTACGGGCATTCATGTAATTTAATAATATGTAAAATATGTCTATTTGTCAATGCAGTACATCACAGTAGGGCTCACTAATATCTTGTAAACCTTTCTTTTCATTCTTGCTATTATCCTTCTGTCACAAATCACC